AGGTTGAGGTGCCTCAGCTACAGTACCGTTCGGATTGAAGTTGGCGAGGCGAGCCTCGACAGCTATGTTGAAAGCTGTCTGGGGGCTCAGCCCCAACGGTGTAAGATGATCTCCAGGGTCGAGTGCCTCTCGGAGCTCACGCTCTACGAGAGCACCGACGACGTCGTCGATGACGGGCGTGACGAGGGCCCGGACTTGTTCGTCAACAAGCGGCGGAACCGTTCGGTTCATCACACCCTCGACGTGACGAGGAACCTCTTAACGAGAGCTTCCTCCAGCCACGTCTGCATGCGCGGCCAGAGGGTATTTAAGGCCCACTGGGAGCGGTTTTCGGTACCCGCTCGACCAGCGAGGGCCGAGATGGCCCCAGGGGCCGTCCCCTCCGTATTGGTTGGGTTTTGCCCTGTACCGGGTGTCACCCGTACCAGTGACTCCGGGTTTTCGACACGGGAGCGCACGGACCTGGGTGGTCCGCTGCGCGTACTCGCTCGGGCTGAGCCGGAGCGAGTACTGCCCCGTCCCGAACTGGAGTCTTTCGCAGGGGTTCCGGTCGGATTCATCTTGACTTCTTGCTTGAACCGGGGGTTGATACGTGTTTTTCAACTTGTCCACGTACCGAATCTGATGTCTTCTTTCCTGAGCTCGACGGTGAGGGTCTAGAAATCCCAGGCGACCCTCCACAAGAGTACCAAAATGTGGTACAACCATAGGGACGCTAAACCGTAAACGGAAAAGGACAGGCTGTACCTAAAATGAGGGAGCTTGGGAGACCGCTACACTGGAGCGTTAGGTAGAATAATCCGGAACGGTAGGAAGCACAGGACAAGGGAGGTACACCGCACTGGACAGGCGCAGTCGTACTGGGGTGTAGAGCCGTACGACCGGTGGCTAGCTGGAAACCTGAGGGACTTACTTAACCGTACGGTAAAGGACTAGGGTAGGAAGTAAGGGGAGGCGTGCTTGCCTCCGTTTACCTCCAGCCCGGTGCCCCTCTATCTCATACCCCCTACAAGGGCGGTGGCACGGGACGGACTACAGTAGCTGTACATACTGTAGCCAGCTTACTGTAGCTTACGGTAACTAAAAATGACTACTGTACTAACCCACTGATCGGTCGCGCACCACGTGTACACCTGCACTAACTGGTGCCACTAACTACACGTGGAATCCTACGTGGCCACATCTACACGTGCTGGCCACGTATGCACCGTATCGGTTAACATCTTACTACTGTACTTGGCGAGGCCTCTGGCGCCCGCCTAGTGCAGTAGCGCCACTTGGCAATTGTACCACAGACGACACAACCGATCACAGCCTGCACCATGACCACTGTACGTACATCCTCGACTCGGGCGCCCACCCAAAACACATGGCCAACCTCGCCTCCATACAGACACCACAACCCATACAGCACAAAACAAAAACCGCAACTAACCAAATCGTAAAATGCACGCACGCCGGACAGACGACGATCAAGACGAATAAGGGACATGCACTCAAGATCCCCGCTGTTGTATCCCCAAACATAACAAACAACCTCCTCTCGGTGCGATCCATCACTAAGACCAGAGGCAACGTCCTCTTCACGCCCTACGCTGTATACATATTCGAAAAGCACTCCCGTGGAATTATCCTAGGCACAGCCCCATGGGACCCCGCCATCCACCCGTATGCATGGAAGAGAACAATGGACGCACAGGCAAGAGGCGCACTCACGATCCCCGCCCCGAAACACAGATCCAAAACACCCACGCCGTCGTCAAAACACAGTTCACAAACCCCTTCACAAACCCCCGCCAATCGGCGCCTCATCGCCACTCGAGCCCCTCTTCCCAGTACCACAAAAAGGAAATCCATTACACCATTACCCATAAGCTCAATACCAGAACCCCCCATCCCACCGATCCCCTGTAAGGCCACAGATCAGATCTTACACCACTGGTATTTAAAGCTCAACCATGCCCCCTACCCACAATTCAAGACATCGCCAAATTGAGGACGCTACACGACCTTCCACCCGCTCTCGCCGCAGCCCAAAACCGACTGTCATGCTCCGCATGTGCACACGCGAAGCAACGACCGGCACGCCATTCTCCCACTCAACACCACTATGACACGGGCGACTATCTAAGTTCTGACACATGCGGCCCCATTCATCCTCCATCCAACCACGGCAACCACCATTTCCTAACGTACATAGATGCGGCTTCCAGATAAGTCATGCTGTATTTTCTCAAATCCAGAAGCGAAGTAGGAATCCTCATGCCACAATTCTTCGCGCTGCTGAAGCAACGCATCCGCCTTCCTCGAACCTACCGCACTGACAACGCACGCGAATTTAAATCCAACCACGCGCTGCACACCTACGCCTCCCTCGGTATCAAGTACGAGAATGACACCCCGCATCAGCCTCAGGAAAATTCTTTTGCACAGAGAATTAATCAAACTCTCATGAACGCCGCCAGAGCCAATCTCCACCACGCCAACCTACCGGACGCCCATTGGGAGGACGCAGTACGCGATGCGCCTTATAAATACAACATCATACCCCATCGAGCCACCCGACAAGCCCCACATACACTTTGGCACAAACAGAAAGCACAGCCGAAGCAACTCCTCATCTTCGGACAATTAGGCACAATACCTATGTACGGCACAAAACGCAAACTAGAGACACGCAGCCGAGCAGTACGATACATGTACTCCAACAGCCCCCACTCGATCACAGTGCAAGATACACACACAAGCAAGTACCACATCACACGCACGCAGGACTTCCGTCCGTACACAAAAAAACATGACCCCACAGTGAACACAACAGCCGTCCTCCGCACTTCACCAGCAGCAACACGCGGAACCTGACTACAACTCACCACACCCGACCCCCGTACCAGACAACAAGCCAGAACCTACCCTGACGCAGCAGAATGGGAACATGCACACGACACAGAACTGGATAAGCAAGACGCGACAGAAACCATCAAATGGATACCAGACGGACAGATCCCCATACATGAGAAGCACATACCACTGACAATGACATTCAGGTACATTCCCGATCAAATCGGTACAGTAACCGACCGCAAGGCGCGCTGCGCAGCACGCGGCGACTGCATGACCCCGGGGACACATTACGACCCCGAACAAGTCACCATCTACATGGCGGACAAGACTACAGTACGTGTACTCCTCTCCATCGCAGCTACGCACAATTGGCCCCTAGAACACCTAGACATCAGCTCCGCCTATCTCCACGAGAAATTCCCTCAAACGAAACCGGTCTACATCAAGCAGCACCCCCGGTTCAACGGCACCCTCAAACATCCATGCAAAGCGGGTCTACTCATGCCCAATATCTATGGCACACTTCAGGCAGCACGTATGTACCACAACGGACTGTCCAAGCACCTAATCGCGCATGATTACCAGCCCACTCAAGTAGACCTTTGCCTCTTCTACAAAAAATCCAAACGCAGCCTCATTCTAGTCGCCATCAATATGGACGATTTCCTTTCAGCTGCATCTTCTCAAGGTCTACACGACGAGCTCCACGCCACTCTTACAGACAAATAAACCATCAAACGTCTCGGCTTCCCTGCCAAGTATCTCAAATGGCACATCCAACGCCTCACAGATGGCTCCATACACATCTCGCAACCCAACGTCGCCAAAACCATCCTCACAAAAACAGGCCTGGCGTTGTCCAACCGAAAGCGAACACCGCTACCCCCTAAAAGAATCTTCACGTACGCGCAAGATGACCCCCTCTTAGAACAGCACCAATCCTTTCTCTTCTGCCAAACAATCGGAGACCTCAGATACTTAGCCGACAGCACCAGGCCCGATATCCACCCCGCGGTCAGCATGCTAGCCTGAGTCATGCAGACACCGGCTCGCACACACAAGAACCACCTCCACTGGCTCCTTCGGTACCTCAACGGTACAGCACACCACGGAATACTGTTCAAAGTCAAGGCTCCCAACGCCTCTCCAAGCCTCCGCACATACAGCGACTCGGGTTTCTCCAACGACCACGCACGCCGATCCCGAACCGGAGCAGTACACATGTTCCACGACGCGCCGATCAGCTGGACCTCAGTTCGGCAATCCGTAGTAGCCGACTCCACCTGTGAGGCGGAATACCTCGGGGCCACTGCAGCCACGAAACAAGCTCACTGGCTCCGCCGCCTCCTCTCCGACGCACAAAAACTGAAGCACGAACCCACCCCCTTCTAGTAGACAGCAAAGCAACAATTCTCGTGGCACAGAACTCGGCACCCACCAAACGTCGAAAGTTCATCGATGTGAAACATCACGTCATACATAACCACATTCAATGAGAAAACGTCAAAATCCAACACATCCCCTCCGAGGACAACCTCGCCGACTACTTCACAAAGCCTCTCGGCCCACAACGCACGAAAACTTCTCCTCAATAAGCTCAGCTTCGTCGACCCAACACCCCTATTGGCGAACCCGGGGACTGTCAGACCGCACAATCACATTCGCCAATAGTCATTTTGCAGTCTCAGACCGCACAGGACAGTCTGTCCTTTAGGATAGACTTATAACTAGCGAGCGACGACGAGTAAACGAGGAGGCATCGGTCTTCTGTTCACACAACAACCTCCAGAGATATTCGCGATGCAATCAAAACTATAGGCAATCACAGATGACTATCTGCAACAAGGACTTAGTCAGGCAGTACTCATTACAGCCGCTCTTTACAGCCGCATTATTGGATGTAGACTCCGCCTCCATCTCATTAATTAAAAAACTTCGGATCTTTGTCAAGATAGCATTCGAAGGTTGCGTTGCCCTACGGCCCCCGTCCATACCACTAGTTTTTCGGAAGATTGCGACAACTGGGAATGATCCTCAATATCACTACAGCCGATGTGTCCATGTTGCAACAAGTCTGAACGACAATGCATGAAGAGCACTACTCCGCCGATTGGCGTATACGAATGAATCCCAGAAAGGGAGGTGGGCACAACGTCTGGAAATTCTAATTTCGTTTACGAGATCTCTCTGATTCGTGCGCTGCGTAATGTCGGGTGACCAGATGCCTATCAAAGCAACCTAAGAAAGGAAGAGAACAGCAGCAACTTCCGAGATGACGAGAGAAGAGCTACAAACGGTTGAACTCGCAGAAAGGGTTGTTTTCCTCCCACGGATAACAGCAGAATTCTAGACCAGGGGGATAGTTGCCCGGACCTAATGAATGCGAAGAAGAAGTGAAACAAATTTAAGACGAGGTAGTGGACACAGATTCGAGAGTTTTTGGTGTGAGTTGCAGATTTCCATTGTCGCCCAAAAACATTTCCTGGATGATAGAACACTTACATTCAGGGTCAAATTGGCGGCTAACCTCTCCAAGCTTGGGAAGGCGAGGCTGCGCCGGAACAGCCGCAACTACGGCCACAAGACAGGCAAGGAGGCAGATGGCGAGGGAGAACTTCATAGTGCAGAGGCGAAGAATTTGCTGAAGTGAGAAACGATTTGCTGTTGCAGGCAATTTGCTGTTGCAGGGAAGGGATGAGTGGGGAGGTTTTGCTTTCCTAGCGCAAGGGTTTTATACGTGTTTTGGGAAGTTGCATCCAAGCTACAGCATAGGCACGGCACTACTGCACTGCTTCCACATTGCGTGATCTACCCAAGGGTAGCCAGACCTGCGACTTTCTTCGTTCGTTGACTACCTGATACTACGGACTCTGTATTATGGGTTTGGATATTGTACTGTCGATTGGGGCTCACAGAGGATGCCACACCAAGTTTTTATCACAAGAGGATCAATGACGGATGCAATAGAAGTCAGTCCGTTAATCACCTGATTCCATCGAATAGCAAGTAGCGTTTTGTCTTTGTTTTTCACACGGGCCCACAAACAATACTTACGCTGTCCTCCTGGAGTTTTACATTCTCTGGAGATGGGTACACCAGATTCGCTATGTGGTCCGGTACGCGAGAGAAAATGGCATTGGCACTATTCTCGGGCGGGTTCTCCCTGGTTTTAAATAAACTTTTTTATTATGCGATGTGCACCCCATTCTTGGGGTCATTAACTATAGACCGACAAGGGCTAGATACTGTACTTGCACGGTACACGTGCTGTCACGACTCTCTCGTGGACCGCTTTGTTGACAGATCATTCAGGGACTTTGGAGCTATTGGGTAACTGCCTCTCTTTTGCCTCCTGTCTCTCTCCGCCTTGCTCTCCGCCTTCGCCTTTCTGCAAACTGCAGCTCTCTCCTGCATTCATCCCTTATCCGGCAACAGTCGTCGCATTCCAGCGTTCGCCACGATTTCTGGTTGCGAATATTCGTTCGAATGCGTTATGTCCTTCCGCTTCCCGCAACCGACAGGGGCGTGTGTCCAACATGAGTACGACGTTTCCACATGCAACCCGGGTTCGGTGTGGCGGTGTGGCGGTGTGCGCTTGCTGGTTGCGAACGCGCGCAAAGGATGGTGAGAGTTGTGAGGCTCGATGCCTCCGATTTACGGAAGGGGCACAGATTGGTGTCTTAAGTACACCAATTCTGTCCCAAAAAGGGGTCGAACAAAACCTACCTAAAAATGGTATGCTACCTAAGCATGTATGATGCTGGCCTGGGTAGGTGAGTGTGTACCGAAGTGAATGGGTTCCATTCACTACACTCCCCTTCTTCAAAGACCGAGTTCCTGTTTCGCTTTCTGCGCGAGGTGCGGAGGAGTGCTGGAGCGACGTAAAAGTTTCTGAAGCATCTGGGGGACGTCGTTGTAGATTTCCGTTAACGGTTCCAAGCTGTCGTCAGCCTTATCTAGACCTTTCCAACAGACCTGGACCAGTATCGTGTCTTGGTCCTCGACTAACTTAAGAAGTCGTTGAACGATCATGCCGGTTTCCGAGGAGATAACGTGAGACATTATGGCTTCGGTGTCCAGCGAAGCGTCGTGATAGAATTTAAGTCTAGATCCATGCACGTCTTGAAGAGAACCGGTGCGAAGGTCTTCGACTTGATACACGTAATCGGACAATGCCTGGACAATGCGACGTGGTCCTCGCCAGCGTAGGGCGAGTTTTTCTCTAGCTGTGAAATGTTCTCTGGCAACCAGAACAAAGTCGCCTTTCTCGAAACTGGGCAATGTTCCTTTTGAAGCTCTTTCTCTTGACTTCTGCCTGTTATGCTGCAACGTATTGTGGACGAAAGGGTGCAAGTCCGCCATTTGACGTCGCAGATCGGTCATGTTTGTGCACTGTTCAAGATTTGCTTCGCATACAGTAACCGATTTAGCTGTAGCCGTCCTGAGAAATGTGGATATGGGTGGGGTGGGTTTCATTCCGAGGAAGGCCGTGATGGGTGCGATGTTTCCGCGATGTGGGGAAGGCGTGTTGTTGAGGATGCTTTGAATGACTGGGAGAAGATCTGGCCATTCCTTGAAATCCATTTGGTACTCGGACGTGAGGGCACGAAAGGTCCGTATGAGTTCTTTGCCAAGACGCTCTACTGCACCGTTGCTCCAGGGCGTGTACGGTAAAGTAAAATGATGCGGCACACGAAGACTCTTCGTGATTTTTCGGACGGTCTCGTTTCGGAAGTGTGTCGGTCCGTCGGACATGAGACCATGCGGGACATTAAACGCGGCGCACCAATCGACGATCGAGAGCGCTGCGTTGTCGGCGGTTGTGTCCGGTGTGGCGAAGAACTACTTGTAGTCAGAGTGATCGTCTCGCATCATTAGAACGTATTTCAATCCTGCATGGCTCGGTCCTATTTCGATATAGTCGAATTGCAAAAGGTCGTTAGGTCCGGTGCCGTGTAGCGCGGGCCCGAACGGTCGTGGTACCTTCTGTCCTCCTGTGGTTGAGATGCAATGGATGCACGCATCGGTGAAGGTATGGACGTCCTTCGTGAGTGTCGTCCAATGGTAGCTGTCGCTGAGGGTTTTCGCTGTGGTTTGCTTACCGCGATGTCCTGCAGGTCCAGTGTGTGCTATGATACAGAGTCTGAGCTGGAGTGTTTCCGACGGGTCTGGGATCCAAATGGACCCAGAAGGGGTTTTCCATATGCCATCGAGGAGCGCGAGGTTTTTCGGGCGAGCGTCGGAGTGTTGGGCCTGATGCCGAGTTATTTCTTCCAGGGAAGGCCAGCAGAAATCGTCGGAAGCGGTACTGGGGAGAACTGGAATCTGAATTAGTCGGCGAACAGCCTTGGGCGCACACCAGCGAGTTAACATGTCGGCCCAGACGTTGTCCAATCCGCTGATATGCAAGCACGTGTACGAATAGGCGCTCAAACGCACAGCCCAGCGTAAAACCTTATGCGTGGAAGATTGGCTGAGGTCAGGGATGAGCGAAAGTGGGTCGAAGATGAAAACTAGGTTGTTATGGTCAGTATAGAGGTCAAAACCTGCGGCAGTTGCTGCAAGCCAGTGCATTCTCTCCACAGTTGCCATAATGGCATACCCTTCCTTCTCGAGTGTGGACCATGCCAATTGGGTGGTGTTGAACTTGCCCGAGCAGAAGGCGAGTGGGCTGTGACGTTGGTGTTTGTGAACGAGGGGAAGATCCTCTCGAGGAACTTGAGTAACGATGCCGGACCAGGAGGTGTCAGATGCGTCTGTGTAGAGACAAAGACGCTGTTGCTCATCGCGGTGGGCCAGAGTGACTATATGGGCCAAAGCCTCCTTGCATTTTTCGAAAACACGGGCCTCCGGTGCACACCATCCCATTCTGTCAAGTGATACAGTAGCAACCGCTCGTTTCGTGCGCTTCCCAGCTTTGCTGTAGACAAGTTCCATCAGTGTATGTAGAGGTTCGACCAGGTTGGTGAAATCGGGGATGCCTGTCTTGACCCACTGCATGGCACATAGAAACTGTTGCAAGTGTGCTCCGGTGGTCGGGGGCTCCATGCTAATGAGGCCGTCGAGCTGTCGGGGGTCGTGGCGGACGCCTTTGGCTGATAAAATGCGGCCGCACCACTTGATAGTCTTTGCAAAGAGAATACTCTTGCCAGGGTGGAGTCGGAGGGAAAACTGAGCGCAAGTTTGGAAGAGCTGTCGAATGCCGTCGAGTAAGCCTTCCACTGTGGGGTTGTGAAGCAACATGTCATCTAGCCAGTATAAGAGCTTCTCGCGCAGGTTTTTCGGGAAAACCTCCGCCAATACGGATTGCAGATGCGTGGTGGCGTTTGTGGTTCCATGCAGCACCCTGGTCGGAGTGAACACGCCATCGGGTGTGATAAACGAGTGTAGCTCCTGCGAATTTTTATCAAGAGCGAATTGCCAGTAACCGTGTGAGAGATCAAAGGATGCGAAGTACTTGGAGCCAGCCAGTTTCAGCAGCTCCTGCTCGATGTTGGGCATGGGGTACTGATGTCGCACTGTGTACTTGTTGATTGGTCTCAAGTCAACAGTGAATCGAAAACGTGCAGGACCGGGTTTAGGGACAATAAGCGGTGCTGATGCCCAAGGCGAAGATGGGTTCGAGTACACCATGCCGGCTCGTACGAGATCCGAGACAAACTTGTCGAGGAATTCGCGCTGATCCTGTGAGTACTTACGCAGACGGACGCGTATAGGGCGGGCGTCAGGTGTGAGAGCGATCGTGAGTGGTGTGACTTGGGCCGGTGGTCCTGAGGAGAGTGAAATCCTGAAAATGTCCATGTGCTCTAGTACAATGTCCGTGAGTTGTTTGGTGTGTATGTTTCCCATACCATTAGCGACTGCGCCCTGTAACATGGAATCGACTGAATTGCGGATACTTTCATGTTGGTCACTGTCGACGGGGTAAAGCAGGGCTGGGTCGGGAAAAGGATCTTCGTTGCGACGAGCTGTATGATAGTTGACCCGTGGACGATCGGTGGATGAGGACATTGGTTCAAGCGATGCCACTGAGCCGTTCAGGCGTGCGATCATTAGACGGCTGACATATCCACTTGCTGAGGCAGATGTGGGGTTTCCCACGTCGGAACAGTCCGAACCATTCAGTGCGAACCTATTGCTGTCCAGTAGGGTATGAGTGTCGATACGCAGGTGTTTCAGTACAGGTCTTCCAATCAGGAGATTTTCGCATGCCAATTCTTCGTCAGCGACCAAGAAGGAGATACCCATGAGTGCTAGGTTTCCGGATGTCAAATGAAGTATTGTGCGCGGTACAGTCCATGTGCGTGAGAACGAGAAACTTTCCGCACCTGCACTGTTTCCTTTCTTGAGGGCGACAGCCAGCGTGACCTTCTTGATGGCTGTTATCTTCCCAATGCCTTGCAGCGCCGCAGATTCAGCGAGGAAAGATGAGACGATACTGTCGTCGCTGCCATCGTCGCATCGGCCGGTAGAATCTATCGACGTCATGCCGTCAGACACAGTGACGACGCAGTTCGCATCATGCTGATACTGAGAGGGCTTCAGACGTCCGACAGTGCCATGCCTGGCCATTACTTTCTGAGACCTCGTATTCTTAGCGGGACCGTCGGCGCCCTTCTTTGCTGCGAGCTTAGACTTCAAAATTTGCTTCTCGGCGTTAGTAGCCTTTTTGCAATCGTCAATCCAGTGTCGCTCGCCTTTTTCTTGGCAAGGAGGATGTGGACAGGGGGGAGGTGATCGTTTTCCTTTCTGAGTAGTACGGTGCGGCTCTGCAGAGAGGCTTGCCTTAACGATGCTTCCCGAACCTGAG